GCTGTAAAATGTGTGCCTTGGGTTCTGACTGGCCAGGAAAAAGAGTGCAGAGTGGAAACATGCTGTGGTTTGAAAGAACAGCCCCGAACTGACCCAGACTTTCCCCCCAACGTCATTATTGGTGATGAGACATGGTTCTATGACCTTGAAAGCAAACATCAAGCAAGCCCGTGGAAGAGGCCATCTTCATCTTGCCCTAAAAAGCTCGTCAAGTGGAATCAAAGACAAAGACAATGCCCCCTTGTTTTTTTGATGTGAGGGGGATAGTCCATTTGGAGTTCATTCCACCATGTGAGACTGTTAATCAAGCTTTCTATTTAGAGGTTCTGAAAAGATAGTGTAGTGTAACAGTGTGGGGGGGAGGGGAAGGCCTGATTTGTGATAGACAGTTTTGCCACCACGACAATGTACCTGCTCATGCAGCCATCTCAGTGAGCCAATTTTTGGTAAAAAACAGCATACCTCTCTTGCCCCCAACACACCTGACTCACCTGACCTGGCTCCATGGGACTTTTTTGTTTCTGCAAACGAAGAGAGGCATGAAAGGACAGCGATGTGACAACACAGAAGAAGTGAAGGAAAGAAACAAAGGAGGTGTTGTCAGCCATCCAGTTAAGTTTGAAAAATGTTTACAAGAATGGAATCACAGATTTGACAAATGTATTAGTGTAATGGAGAGTACTTTTAAGGTGATATGGTTGTTTTGTAAAAAGATTTAAATACATAGCTTTGAGGGGGGAAAAAGATTACAGGTTTTGGGGGTACCCCTCGTAAACAAGTGAGGGCTTCCAGTACTTCATTAGCTTTCTGAAACATTTCAATTGGTATTCTATCAGTTCCTGGAAGATTTATTTGGTTTTGGATAACGCTTTCAGTGCAGTTTAAGCACCTTCCTTCAGTACCATTGGCTCTTGCTAAAAAGCTACCTCTTGAGAACACTAACTTAAATTCCCTTTGTGTGACTATTATTCCCCATCATTAAAAATCAATCTACATATTTACATGCCAGTCAATTGTTCAAGATAAGCACATAACCTAACCAGGCTCAGCGTGACAAAAGGAGGCATTTGCTGGGATTTTTCTAAAGGAAAGAACATGGTGGTGCCTTATACTCTCTTTTCCTTCAGTCCCCTCCTCTTCCTTGTTCTTTCTCTTCCCTTCTCTTTTCCTCCCTGATCCCCCAAACCTACTAACAGAAAAGACAATCATTCTTCTCCAGGATTGTGGGGATATAAAGATAGGAAATCTAGAGTTAAAGAGGTAGACAAGATGTTAGTGAATGAAACCTGAAGATAAAGGAAATAAAAGAAAGAGAGCCAAAAATGGAGTAGGAAGATATTTGACCCCTCGAATCAAAACACACCTGGACTTTTCAGTCCTAGAAATCTATTCAGGTGGATTTTCTGTCACTAGCAATGAAACTGGGATAGAATCTTGCATCGGTGACTATTCTTCAGTGCTCAGGTACCATTTTATTACATTCCAACAAAACTATTTGTCAAGTTGTGATTTAATAATAATATTGATGTTTGAACAAAATCTTAAGATGAATTTCATTTAAGACTGAAATTCTCTTATAAAACTTTTAACTTCTAACTCATTCTAAAATCGTGTTTGTCATTAATACATATCTGATTATTAATAGAAATGAAAATTCAGTTCAGTACACAATTACCAAGTCTTAGAAACGTGTAAGAAATGGCTAATGCTCTGGAATGGTGACTTAAGCAACAACAACAACAAAAAAGGTACAGCAGAATAAAAATGTAAAGGTAAAGTAATATCCATGGTGTTCTTTTTTTCCTGGCACTGGGTTTTCTATTTTCAGCAGTTTAAGCATGCATCTTCTGGAATGAAAGTTACTCATTTAAAAATATCCTTTGTGGTAGTAGGCATCGGTGCAATCATTTAAATCATTTTAAAAGATCATATAAATACAAAAAGACATGTTTATCTATAAATTACCTAACATTCAATTGTTTAACACAATCTTATTTTTTATAAATGGAAAATAACTTACCTCAATTGTTTTGCATAATTCTGTTCAATTTCTATCCTCTCTTTAACAAATTTGGCATATCTTTCCAGGAAGTCAATCCCCCACTGTGTATGCTTGTCTAAGCTGTCGAACTGATCCTAAAAATGGAAGTTAAAAATGCATTAAAAATCTAAAATTTTAACCACAAATATGTTAACCAACTTCTGATATTTATGCAAGGGAGTACCCCCCGAAAACTGTGTTGGTGTTGAGGGGGACAGAGCATTTGGAGTTCGTTCCACCAGGTCAGACTGTTAAAAATCAAGCTTTCTATTTAGAGGTTCTGAAAAGATTGTGTAACAATGAGCAACAAAAAAAGGCCGGATTTATGACCGACAGGGGACTGGTTTTGCCACCATGACAAGACAGCTGCTCACGCAACCATCTCAGTGTGTTAGTTTTTGGCAAAAGACACCATGCTTCTTTTGATCCACGCACCTCACACCTGATCTCCTCCATGCGACTTCTTTTTGTTTTCACAAAGAGGGACATGAAAGGACAGCAATTTGATGACACAGAAGTGAAGAAAAAAATGAGAGAGGTGCTGTCAGCCATCCAAACAGATGAGTCTGAAAAATGTTTCCAAGCGTGGAATTGCAGATTTGACAAATGCATGATTTGACAAATGTATTAAGTGTAATAGAGAGTACTTTGAAGGTGATATGGTTGTTTAGTGGTTGCCAACAAGCAAAAGGCCAAGTAGGTGGTGAACTTCCTGTTTTGAGAAAGGCCCAAGAATTTTGACATCAGACAGGGTATCAGCCCAAGAGATTTCACCCATCTTGTCAGATGGTCCCACTATTTCTAGTTGCAGCGACACCAAATGGTTCTCTACACAAGCCTGAGAGTGCCACCCAACATCAACCAGTTAGTTCATCCAGACCCTGGCCTTTCAGACAGCTACTCAGCTGTTGAAGCTGGTCCACAGGTGCAAGCCAGAATAAGCGGAGTCTGTTGCCAGGGGAAGAAAGCTGCTAGTGAAGGGGACACCCCCACCAAGGGACTACCAGTCCTGCAGGCCAGAATTAACACTGTTACCACCCTAGTGGAAAATATGGATGCTCAGCTAGTGGTGCTCGTGCTTGACTGGTTGTTCTCTTCCTGCTATAGCCTTGTGTCCTAATACAGAGGTCCCCTACTGCATCATCAAGAGGAGACTCAATCAGGGCAGCTGGTTCACAGGAAAACCTGCAATATTGTCACCTTCACACAAGTGAACTCGGAAGACAGAGGAGCCCTGGCTAAGCTGGGCAACACCATCAGCACCAACTATAACCCTATATATAACCACAGATTATGATGAGATCTACCATCGTTGGGGTGGCAACATCCTGGGCCAAGCTGGAAAAGTACAAGGTCACAGAACTTGCTACAAAGCTAAGGTAATGCACGCACATGGCTGGTTTTCTATATATACATAAAAGTAAAATTAGTCATTAAGCCTTCATCCATTTGTCATCATGAGTTGTGGTGTGGACATCTGTGGGGGTCAAGGCAAACACATACAGAGCTTTGTGAACGAAGCTCAAGTGCCTGTAATGTGTGTGTTCGTTCGACGGCAAAAGCCAGGGTACTGAATGCTGAACCAGCTGGATTACTGGGAGGGAAATAAAAGGCACTAGGGGGGAAGGGAGCCTCCTGAAATTGTATTTGACCTTCTAAAACTAGACACCAGCGTTATTTCGTGCTTTAAATACTAATAGGGAATCAACTTTCCTGTATTCTTAGATAGCACATATAAATAAGCACTAAACTCTTTTCCACTTATCTCAGTGGATCATCTTGTGAAGACCCCGGCTTTAAATTATACATTATCCTTTACCTTATTTATATCAAGTCCTTCCTACCCAAATTGCGGTTCTCTGTCATCTCATCTTTTCTGGTATACATGATTCCACTTTTCTAGTTAAAGAACAACCTTCTGAATTAAATTCAAACTCTACTTCTCTAAAGATACATGTTCATCGATTTTGAGCTCTTGCAGGTTTTCCAAAGAAAAGTTAAATCATCTATAGGGTTGCATTCATGCTGCCATTACACTGAACAAATACTTGAACTATATCTACTATTAGCTCTCCAAAGGTATTTTTAAACTGGGCCATGATAACAAATTTATAAATGCTCAGTAAAGGCTCAACTAGTCAGAATACTGAGGGATAGTCAAATTTTACTTTTCAGTTACTAAAGGTTAACAAAATTTTGAATACAATTCTGGTTGTTATACTCTTGTTAATGCTGACAAGATTTTTAAAATTATCACTGGATAATTGTTCCAAGTAGAAAGTACAAGAGAAGCCCAATAATTGAATGAATTATGGCTGAGGCTGTACTATACTTTTTAATTAAATTATTGTTAATTTCTGTCAAGTCTCCAATCAGTAGCAACCTTCTATGTAACAGCTAGATCCTGAATAAAAGCCAAATAGAATAGATAGCAACCAGCTTTAAAAAGCTGCAAAAGGCAAAAGAGACGAGTTTGGTTACATATGAAACCTATTCTTTGCTCTAACCACTGTGAAAACAAAATCTGATTTGAAGGCAGGAAAGTAGTTCTAAAAGTCTTCTAATAGAAAATTTAAAAATCATACCATGATAAATATGTAAGTATTTTCTTTTCACTTCACAAATTGTAAATAAGCATTGATGGGAAATATAAATTACACAAGAGTATTTAAAATGCAAAAGAATCAATTTATTGTTAAGATAATTTTATTTAATCTACTGAATAACATATTTGGGTTTTCGGCTACACACGAGATTTATAATACATTCAGAAGCAGCACAATTATCGATGTTGAAACTGAATGAGTTAAATTTTAAAAGTGAACAGAAAAATTAACCCAGTAATTTTACATAAATGGTAATAGTAAGAAATCCAAACACTATCCACATTGGAAAGGTTAAAATACTTAGTCAACAAATAAAATTTAAGTCACCTTTTTCTCTAAGCAAAATCGATTATGAACAGACCAATTTTTAAAAATGTTTTATTGTGAATTAGGTGAAGGTTTTTACAGAGCAAATAGTTTCCCATTCAAGAATCTCCACACATTTTATTTCAATTCATTCACTGCAATCCCCTCACTTGTCTCATTTCCTGTTTCTTGTCTCCATTCCTCCTTCTTTCCTAAGGCTCTGAACTCTGACCTGTTATAAATACTGCCCTTTTGATCTCAAATGCTTGATTATGCTAAGATGTTCCACCCTCACAAGTGTTACTGTCTCACAACAACCTTATAGCACAGGGTAGAACTGCCCCCATGGGTTTCCGAGACGGTAACTCTATGGGAACAGAAAACCCCATCTTTCTTGTTCCGATCACTTGGTGATTTCAAACTGCTGACCTTGTGGCTAGCAGCCCAACAAGTAATTGACAGTGAGTTTGTTTTGGTGAGTGTTACTGTACTCCTTTTAGATTGGTCTGTTGTTTGGCTGAAAAATTGAGCCAAAGTTATGAGTTAACTTCCAGACCTGAGGGGTGACGAATGGCCACAGTCTTACAGATTCCACCAATCTCCATCTGACCAGTAAGCCTAATCTTTTTTTGTGGTTTTGAGTTTTGTTTCATATCTCTCCCACTCTATCCACAACCTTGATGGTGGTAGCTGGGCACTATCTAGGTCAGTGTTCCTAAAGTGAGTGATACTGCCCTTTGGGGTCGCTGGAATAATATGGGATTTGGGGTGGGCAACACTCTGCAAAAAAAACCCAGCTAGCTATACTTTATCCTGAATTATGGGCTACAAAATAAAAGCTTTAATATCAGGGAAGTGCTGAGTAAATTTTTTTCGGAGAAGTAAGCCAAATAAGTTTGGGAACCTATGAGCTAGTTCTTCTGCTCTCAGGGTCATAAAGAGCGATGGTCCATTCACCCACTGAACTAATTATTTCCATGTCATTCAATTCCATCACTCTTCTCGACAAAGAGAGACCAATAGTCACACCTCAGATGGCCGTCCACAAGTTTTTAAGGTCCCAGTCATTTTGGCATTTACAAAATGTTTTCGTATATATTACAGATGTTAGCTGCAATACCTGACTGATAAGGTGTTTGAAAAATGAAGAGATCAACTTTTTGAAATTAAAATATTAACTTAATGTTTTGACTCTGAATTTCATATTCCTTCTACTAAGACACATCATTATTGATAAGGCATTTTAATAATTAGCATTTATTTGTAAATAATGGTCCCGGTCTCCTCATTCTATAAAGTTAGAACCTAATGTCCAGAAATATTTA